CTGCTGGGTTAGGCTCGTCGTCGCCTTCAATGGTAATGATCCACCGTTGTTCGAGCGTGCAGCCGCAGCACTATCAGTGTCAGCAGCTTTGCTATGCTCAGCTCCGCGGCGACTCATGCCTGGCCTCCCCTTTTCAACCCCTCTCTGTCTCCCCTTCCCCCCACCCTCGCCCCCGCCCCCTTCACCTGCTGGAGATCCAGAGAGAGGGAGGGGATGGGGTGCGAGGTGATGGAAGGGGATAGATAGAGAGAGAGAGGGTTTGTTTTAATCAGGTACGATACGTTCGCTTGTAGTCGTAATCATGGGGAGTAATCAGGCATACCCTCCCGAACCTGCGGCGTCCTGCGGCGTCCTGCGGCGTCCTGCGGGCCTCGGGACAATGCAGGAGCAGGAGGGGGAGGGGATGGGTCTGGTGAGCAGGGGGTTAGAGGGATATTGGGGGAGCGGAATTAATATTCCCGATACCGAGTGGGGGGCGGCCTCGTGTCGTGCGGAGCGGAGGGAGGAGGGAACCCGCCGGTGAATGAAATACGCGCACGGCGTACACCGTCGAAAAGATTTTCTGTCAACTCTACACACAAGTGTATCACTGTGAAAAATATCGTCGTAAATTTACAAAATTTTTGGATACTTGAATTATAATTTGAGTTGTAAATTTGCGAGAGCAGATTTTTTACTCGCCAATGAATTATAAAGTCGATACGTACTGCATGTATTTTTACGATTTTAAATCGTAATTTTACAACTTTCGTCAAGGAAAATTTTCCTGTAAACCTACCTACTAATTTTTAAAGTGTAAACCCAGCATTCCAGTTGGCCACGTTAACGCTAGGAACAGCGTTTCCACAAGGTACGAGGTCGTCTGTCAGCAATAGTTTGCCTGCCTTGGTTGACTGTTCCTATAAGTGTGCCTGGCAGGCACACACGTTGGGTTAAAGCGTACGCCGCGGTGAAAATCGAACCACGGTTCTTACCCCTGCAACAAAACGATTTTAATTTTCCGCCTGGGATCATTAAGAAAGTACGTCCGCCTTTCGCCCGCTACGAAACTTAACATCAGCAGCCCATAATAGCCCTCATAGCGCCTGATAGGTAGGCAACATTGTGCCTGCGTTGCATGCATGTACTGCTTTGTAGCCTACCCCGAGTCTCGCAGGCGCTGACCATCTGCAATTTGTCAAATAAATCCAAGAAAATCAGGCGCTAGGCAGCTAATAAAATTTTCATTCTGAACCTCTTGCATTGGCAGAGTAAATATGTAATTAACTTTTCATCCACGTTAAAAATAGTGGACCCGTTTTTTTCGCGTGTATTGTTGTCGTATCCGAACAAATGCGATTTACATAGTCTGTTCACCGGGATTGGGAGGTTCTCCTCGGAGTCCTTATTCCTTCGTGGCACCGTTGGTCGCGGTGCGGTCAGTTGGTCAGGAGGATGCCAGGAGGAGGCTCATTCGGTATGCCGCGCGTTAGGCCCCTCCGCTATTGTCCAACGCCGCTGCCGGCCGTGCCGTGCAGTCGCCAAGGATGCCTCGTGGCGTGGGGCGGCGTGGCGTGTCATTGAGCGCGGGGGATCGTGCGTCGTGTCTCAATTGATGAGCCTCGCCACCGCCGCCGCCGCCGCCATTCCCTTCATTCCATGTTTTGCACAAACTTCTCTTTTAATGGCGCGTGCTGCGGAACGAGCGAAATAACCTCGATAGTTGACGTGCCCATTTATCTTCCGAGCTCCGCACGCTAATCGCTGAAAGCATGCGCCAACGTCCCTGGGCCAAATTTGGGCGGTTGCAATTTACACTGACTGGGGCTTCTTTCTGCATCCTGTGATGCAAATTGTTGCTGCACAGGAAAAGAAATTGGAGTCTCGGCAATTTTTTCTGAGCACCACCTAGAATCTATAAAGTCAGGGCTAATTCGTTTAAAAGCTTAGCACCAGTGGAAATTTGTTTGCTGCCCAGTAAATCCGTCCAAACTATTGCACTTGATTTTAACCGTGTACCTAAGTCCCACTTAATTGTACACACGAGTATGAAATTGTTCACATCTAAATTGATAAGCACAAACAACTGATTTTCTTATCCGCCCTATTTTTTAAAATCTGGTGTTACTTGTGTATGTGTTGTTTTTTTTTCCGTTTTTTGTTGTTGTTGTTGTTTTTTGCTCGGGCTGTGTTCTAAAGGCTGATCTTTTGCCCGCACCTGCCGGGAACGCGGTAGGCATTTGGCCCCAGGGGTGGGGCGGGCCGGGCCGGGCCGAGTGCGGTGGACGCGAGGCGGGCGCTCGTCCAACAAGTGAAACCCCTCCGCCTATAACCTATCCTCCCAGTCCATTGACATTATGAGCGACCGCCGTGATCGACCGTTTGGTCTGCGTCTCTGTTTCTCCCCTCCTTTCTTTCATTTTCTTTCCCCCATCTGCGAGAGCTGCTGCTGCTGCAGTGTATCATGCCTCTTAACTTCAGATCTGTGTGTTGGCCTGTCTGCCTCTACTGTATCGGAGGGCCACATTTGGGGGCTGAGGCTGGCGGTGGCGGCGTGGCGCAGCGCGGCCCTCGAAAACAGAAGATTGGCAACAGAAACAGAGAGGGGGGCTAAGTTTGCTGAAAGTAGGAGTTTGATTAACTCGCAATATATCTGCCAGTTTGTGTAGGCCGTACTCCAACGCTGCAGAGGGGGACAATGGTCTGGGCTCGGCCGCAATACCAAGGCGCGCGCCCCCTTCACTCTCCAACCCCTCCCCACCCCATCCCAGCCTCCACTGCTGGCCCAACCCACGATACGCCCCCCGTTTCATTCTGGAGAAAATGGGGAAAATATGTGATTTATTGAAACTTGATAGCGTGCGCGCGAGAGAGAGGGAAGATAAGGAATTCCCCTTGGCCGCTATCGCTTTTAAGAATCGCACTCTCTCTCTCTATTTCTATCTCTCTCTCCTCTTTTCTCGACCTCTTCTCTGTCTCGCTCGCTCTCTTTGTCTCGCCCTCTCTTGAGCGAGTACATGAAACATGAGCAGTAGCCCGTCAGTGCTCTCGATACTAAATAGTGCACGCCACACCGTTTCCCATCTCTTGTAACCTTTTCTCTCTCTCGCTATCTCTCTCTCTCTCTCCAACCCGTCCAACTTCTGTCGTTGTCAAACGTGACTTTCTGTTCACCCTTCTCCCGTCGCACCAAGCCCAAATTGTCGTCTGTCCAACTTTAGCGACGTGGGACCAGTGCGGTGTTCGTTCAAGCCTTTTGGCGTCGCAACTCCTCCCCTGTGGGGATTTTTTTGCACCTATCTTCGCCTGTAAACTTCTGCGTCTCAACACCCCCACCGCTTCCTACCCGCCAAAGAAAACAAAAAAACAAAAACAAAACTGATAAAATAAGTGTTCTTGAATGAAGTAAATGTGCTCGGTTAAACCGATAACATTTTTGGCTTCTCCCGATGTAAACTGCATTAAAAATGAAGATTTCGTTGCCCCGATAAAAATGTTATTCTTGCGGATGAGTCAACAGGAAATTCTACTTTCCTTTGTTATTCGGGGGTAAAATTCTTCATTCCATCTTGTTTAAGATCTTTCTCTTGATTATTCGTAATGTATTTCTACTATTTTGACCGAGAAACGTATGTCATATTTATATCGTGGAATAATAATGTTCATTTTTATGAAATCGTGTCCCTCCATTTTGCGAATTTTGAATGTGTTCCTCTCTCGTCCTTGTCGCCGCTTGTTAGGGACATGGCTGCACCGCACTGCGTCGCCTTTCTCCTCTCTCTCCCCGCCCAGCCCCTTGTTCTCTCTGCCTCCACGCCCCTTCCTCGCTAGTTCGAGGGAGGCTCTGAGGCTCTTTGCAAGTTTGCTAGACGGGGGAGGCCATGCCTGGCCCGGCTCTCAGCGCTGTGCTGTACGATTTGTCGCACGTTTTGGGTCGGGCACGACGACGTTGCTGGAGAGCACGTCTCGTTACCCTGTGAACAATGTGTATTGTTTGCTTTTGGCGAATTTTGATGATGTGTTTTCCGTACAACATATGTACCCAAATGGAGAGTAAACACACTACAAATCCCAAGGAACGCCGCAAGTCGGTCACTCACGATCCTGTCGATTTACGTCGTTGAAGTGTTTTATATCCATTAGGTAGAAAAACCACAATCCTGAGAAGAAAAGGATGTGCAGTTATAATTGTTTTGTCATCAGTTTTCTCGTCCTTAATTGGGCCATATATTTTAAAAAGTAAATCAAGTTCGAATAAGGCAATAATACTGGTCTTGTGGTTTTCGATGTGATGTGTGTACGGTTCAGGACATGTGTAAAGGGTAAACTCCAAGGAGGGGGAGTGCTGTGGAATGTGAGGGTAAGGGAGACCGGACGGGGTGAAGGTGGCGGGGAGACGGAAGGTGATGAAGCGGGGGAGAGGAGGAGCGAGGGGTTGACGAGGCAAAATTAATTGGATGACATTCTAGCATGGCATTTCACCCCCTCCCCCCGCAGGACGCCCACGGAACATTCCTGGCCAGAAAAGGAACTCCGCGGGCGGGACTTATCAACTACTAGTCACTCGGTTGTTGATGGCCATGGCGTTGAGTTGACGTGACAGATGAATTCCACCTGCCCCCCACCCCCACCACCCGAACTCCCCGATCGCTACCGGGCAAAGAAAACTAAACTGCAATTTTTATGGGAACGACCACTAACATATTATGGGAACGACGAATAAAATAAAAAATATTTGTAAATTAATGTGACAATTTTCAAACGTCAATTAATTTTTTTAACAACTCAACTGAGATATCAGTGAATACATTCAGTATTGTGTACCGGGTGTAACTGAGAATGCGCAACAGTGTTGCGGGATTGCATACCCGCCAGGGCTGCAGGGGCCATGGCGCCTTACGGGCTAACTGGGTAGGCAAACCCGCAACACTGTTGCGCATTCTCAGTTACACCCGGTACGTACAGTGTTGTGACATTTCTTTTACCTTTGTTCTGAAGAAACGTATTTTCTATTGTTTCAGGTAGCGTCAGTATGGGGTGCTTCGGGAGCAAAGACAAGCTATCAAAAGAAGACATGGATTTTCTCAAATCGCATACAAGATACGACGAGCCCACAATCAAGGAGTGGTATAAAGGATTTAAGGTGAGCTCCTATTTTCTTTTTCCGAAGTGCTTTTGGGACGCTTTTCTTGTCTATGGGCCGGCAGTGTCATGTCGCGCAGCGCTATGATTTTGCATACTAAATATTTGAGCCCTTCTCGTCGAGGCGATGGATGGGGAAGGGGGGGGGAAGGGATAGGGGGGCGTAAGAAAGAGGAAGGGAAACTTTGACCGCGTTACGGCGGGGAGTCTTAATTTGCCGCGAAAATGCAAAACGAGACCGACGGAATGGAGATCGCTCCGCTGCCTTCTTCCCTTTCTCCTTGTCGCTCTCGACCCGTGCCTCTCCGCTCGCTTTATGCAGACTTGGCCTCTGCAGACCTGGCCTCTGCAGCAGCCAGCCATGCGCTGCTGCCGCGCGCGTGCCCCAACAAAGAGTCGACACAGAGAGCTCTGAATGAGGTGCAGTGTGTCCCGCCCGACCGCGCATCAAGAGAGAGAGAGAGAGAGAGAGAGAGAGAGAGAGAGAGACGAGGGACGAGACGAGAGCTGCTAGCCTGTCCTTTTAACAAGCAGGCCCGCCGTTCTGCCATAGCGGGATTTTGCACCAACCGTTTGGTGTGCCGGAGTGACCCCGTAAGATGCCCTGACAATTTCAAGTTGCGAAGCTTTTCCACTAGTGGCACTTGTAGACATGCAGGGCAGGCACACACGACAGCATAAGCCCATCGTATTTCTTTTTACGAAGCAGAGGGGTGGGCCAAAAAAAGGGGGTGGAAGGAAGAGAGCGGGGTAGGTCTTAGTTTGTTTAGCAGAGGTTACCACACTCAAAAAAAAGAATCATTGTACCAACGACATGAGTTGTACCTCCAACAACATTTTGTTCTTGGAATGGCTTCAGAAACATAGGATGCTATTCCAACGACCATGGTTGCTGCCACTGTTAAATTCCTACAAAGCATTTGCTTTGCAGAGCTGCGAAGTATTTTGCTCCTTTGTAACTACGAAGCATTTACTTTGCAATTACAAAGTGATGCTTTGCAATTGCAAAGCAATGAAAACGCTGCAAAGCATCGCTTTGCAATTGCAAAGTGTCACTTCGTAATTGCAAAGCATCACGTTGTAATTGCGAAGTAAATGCTTCGTAGTTACAAAGGAGCAAAATACTTCGCAGGCTTTTAACAGTGTGGCTCAACGACATGGTCGGTGGCACAACTACCGGTTGTCATAGGGTTAGCAACATCGTGTCTTTGGACCAACAACCCGGCCGCAAGAACACGACGGTCGTTGGAACAATGATTCTTTTTTTCAGTGCAGGCTATCTCTCGTTTCTCAGACTTGTCTTGCTTGTTTTCATCCCTTTCCTCCCATCTGTCCTCTACCTTTACTATCTTTTCTCCGTGCCAATCCTTTTTATAAGGACACAATGTTACGGATAAAAATCTAGGTAACCGAACCGTTGGATTTTTTTAAAATGTTAAGTGAACCTCTCTAAATCGAGACTGTATTCAATAGGCTTAAAATTTTTGATCTTAGCCTGCAAACATATGTAGACGATTTAGCACGCGCTAGTGTACCCTGAACTGCTGCTTTGGAGCATTAAAGCCAGAAAAGAACCCCGGAAATTCTCAATAATGCAAGAGTAAATCTTCGAGATATCCTGGAAAACTTCCAGCAGAGTTCGCGTTGTACTTTTCCAACTGATAGAGATGCGACTCGCAGTGGATGATGATACAGCACGTCCAACCTTTGAGTCGCATTTCCATACCCAGCCCAGACTACTGTGTGTGTGTTCTGGTCCCGCAGGTGCAAAGTGACGATCTCTCCCCCCCCCCTCCCTCAAATCCCCATGATTCCTACCCCCACCCCTCACGCTCGCTCCCCATCAGCACCCCTTTAATGATTCGCCGCCATTAAAGAATTTACAACGCAAATCCCTCTTGGCAGTGACACCGCCGCACCACGCCACGCCTAGCTTTCGGCGAACTTAGCGGTTTTCTCCCTCCCCCCATTCTCGAGTCGAGTTAAGTTCCGGAGGCCGCGTCTCTGACATGTACTGGGGGTGATTTGCTGCGTCGTCCCCTTCTCTGGTTGTACTGTACCGGATTCAGGCGGGTGCGGGTGGGGCTCGTCCACCGTCGCTCGCCATGGCGTCTTATGGATCGTGCGAGCATGCAACCCATCCCCACGCCTGAATCCGGTAGAATAAAAACATAATTAAAGGGCGGTGCAGAACACTTGTGTTACCTTGTGTTAGTATTAGGGGTCTTGCTGTTTAGCTCTATCCAAATTCCAATATTTTCTTTCTTTCTTATTCTTTCTTTCTTTCTTTTTCCTGAGTCAATTCTTTTTCCTGAGTCAACGCAACGTGAGACTTGAAAATGGTGCACAGAACGCCGAATGCTTCTGGTCTCGTAGGTCTCGTATCCCCGTGAGGGCTCCAACAAGCAGTTAGAGCGATCATTTCATTTATTTTTCCTTACCTTCCCCCCTCCTTTTTTCCCCGTTCCCGACAACCTGGGTCGCTCTTTACCTTTGCTAACCCACTTGAGACTTACCTTCCTATTCTATTCTGCTGCTCCTCGGGGCCCCGCGGGGCGCTCGGTGGCGGCGGCCTGCCAACCGGTGCCTCTGACTCTCTCCCTCCCTCTCTCTCATGCACTCTCGAGATCGGGATCCTGCTCTCTCTGGCGCTTTCACCCCCTCCCCCGCGCATCCTCCTACTGTTTTTGTTATCGTTTGACTGACGGACTGATTGACTGACTGGCTGGGGAAGAGTACACACGGAACCGCCCGCAGGTGTGCTTGGTCCCGTTCGCTCGCCGCTCCCCTTTTTGCAACCGCGTGTCGATTCCATGTGAAAAGCCACTATGTTCTGCTCACACTTTTCAAATTAGAATATGGACTGTTGGAAAAAAAATCCTGGGATTTCACGGAGGAACACTCGTGAAAAGTATTGCCAAAGTCCTTTGGGATTTCCCAAAGAACTCTGTAGATTTCACGTGTCGAGTAGCTTTGAAACATATAGACAAATGAAAACTTCCACCATTAACAGCTGTTTTAGTACACAAAAAACTAAGGACGGAGTCCTCTGGGAATTTCTGATAGTGGTGGAAAGTGAATCTTTGGGAAATCCCAAGAAATTTTTAACAGTGTGCACTCTTGAATTTGCCGAACTTTTTTTCCACTTTCTTCAGGAGATTTGTTTTACCCACATCTTGACCGAATGCAATTTTGACCGATGAAGATAACCGATCTGCATGTCTGCTCATAGAAAAAAAAATGTGTCTAATGATGGGATTTAGCTACACTCACACGTATAAGGGGTGGACTGAAAATTTGAATAAAGTAAAAAAGTGCGCGGGGTTCATCAGTTTCCTGGTACAAACGCAATTCACAATATCATTGATCTTGGTAAAGAAAACGAACACACCATGGTAAAAAATTCCTGTGGTGCATTGTCCGCAGTGGTGACCCGCGCACGCTGCTTTTCCGCGGTCGGTCCGGTGGTCCGGTCCACGTTGCGCATCGTCCATTATCACCCCTCGGCCCGGCGACATGCCGGGTGTTGCGCTTGATTAATCGCACCGCGCGGGGCGGGGGCGTGTGGTGGGGCGGACCCAGGAGGACCCCGCAGCGGGAAATACTCGAAAGAAATACACGGAAATTGGAAAATTACAGTTTGTATGTGTGAAACTACAACTTGAAATTGGGAAACTACAATTTGAAATTAGGAAACTACATTTCGAAATTGGGAAACTACAATTTAAAATTGGGAATCTACAATTTGAAATTAGGAAACTACAATTAGAAATTAGGAAACTACAATTTAAAATTAGGAAACTACAATTTTCAATTGTGGAACTCCAATTTTCAATTGTAAAATTATAAATTAAAATTCTAAACAACTAAAATTTTAATGTGTAAGTTTACAAGTGCTATGTATCGATTTGGAATTCATTGACGATAAATATGGGTTGTGGTAAATTTACGACGTATTGTGTAAATCGTAGATACAATAGATATCGTAAGTTCACGAAGATATTTTAATTTTTCGCACAGTGTGAAATTAGTAACTAATTCCAAAAAACGTAGCACAGGGATTCGCGTAGCTGGTTTGTCAAAATACTGTGCCAATTGTACGAAAATCAAACTCTCCGAGATGTATTTCTGAAGTGTAGCTGGGCCTGCTCGCTATTCATGGCCGGCCATTCCAATCAACGAGTCCACGGGGGTTTCGGACAGAGCAGGGTGGGGGTGGATTTGGGGCGTCCAAGGTGGCGAGAAGGTGCAAGAGAGACCGAAGACGGATAGCGAACAATTCGTGTGAACTGGACTGCGACCTGAAGTAAAAAAAATATATATCACCTTAGTTGTCATCTGCTAGCTTTACAATACGTACAGTCTGTAGAAAAACAATTCTCTTATTACCAACGTTCATGTTGATTTTCATTAGTATGAGCTCGTTCGCAAGGCAGTAATTGCTCCAGTTCCCAACGAGGACAGGAAGGTCAAGTGTATTGCAAGGCGAAGGGCAGGGGCGGCGGTCTGTTGAGAAGCACGCTGGTCTGTAGCGGACGATTGTCCGTCACTCCCGCGCGCCGTCTGTCTGTCTGTCTGTCTGTCTGTCTGTTCGTGACGGCCGCGCGCACTGCGGGGTAGTAGGGAGGCCTGGGCGACCACACCCCACCACGCCCTTTCGCTGAATGAATACAAATTGAGGAATTAATTAGCTATGAGTGGCGACCGCCAACGGTTTTGCTTGCTGTCTTGCATGCCACTCTTGTGCGGCGAGGGTGGGGAGAGGGGGACGCCTGTCAACCACCCGTAAGGGGTTGGGGGATGGGAGGCGGGGGGTTGGCAGAAGGTCACAAGGGAAAGAGGGTCAGAACGTCGGGGTCCCCTCCGGTCCCCTCCGGCCCCCTCCAGAGGTAGATGGGCGTGCCGGGTGCCGGGCTGGGCAGGGCGGCGGCGGGGCTCTGCTGGCTGGAGGAGAAAGGGAGTCCTTGGCCGAAAAAGCCTCTACCCCCGTCCTCCCCCTCC